GTGAACATTTCCTAAAAAGGATTTTTTTTCTCTGGGAAGTGCTACATGGGAAAAGTGTTCAGATTGTGCTCTTTAGTCATATGCAACTCATTGCATCAAAATGATTCAATGTACAGAGCTCAAAATTTTCATAAATATTACTGATATAAACTGTAATGTTTTAATACATTAAAAGTGGTACCGTTGATTGAAAATGACTCCAGTTTCTCAGTACTACATTTAAAAATTATATAAATAAAGATATTATCAAACCCTCATGTACAATCATAGTGAAAGTTGTGTTCTTGTTGTGAGGAGAGTACTTTTATATAAAATTGTATTCTATTATAAAGAAATGGTTGTTGCACATATCACAGTCATTGTTCTAATTGCCTGAATCTTGAATACTCAAAATTTTAAATTATTTATGGAATTGTTGTTTGTGGTGCCATTCAATAGATGGTGCAGGAATTTGGGTTACATTATAGTAAGATATTGTGTAGTTCTGAATATAATAAATTTAACATTGGTAGCTACATTAGTGCTAACAAATTGGACAGTGCCAACCCTAATGTTACTTATAACTTAACTTTCTATAATAACATTAGAAAATCGTCTAAAAAAATTGATCCTATTTTTTAGAATACTTGAACCAAAGGTTTTTGCTGAATCTTTAACAAGGTTTTGTTATGTTCTTGTTACATTTCATTCTTTTATGGATATGCTGTGCCTAATCACTAATCATTTAGTGTATATTCGGACATTGTTAAATGCAGCTGCCTTTAATCATGTAGAAAATTATAACATTACTAATATCACCAAGATAACAAAAAAAAATCACAATTCTAATTTTTATCATTAATTGTTGATTTCTAAGATATATCTTTGTTTTTGTTTCATACAGATTTTATTTTTGTATATGTATATAATTTCTAATTATCAAATCTGAAATGTGTGTTATTCCTATAGGGCTTTGGATCTTGCCGTTGGAGCTCCATTTTACTTTAGTGAAAAAGGAGGAGGAGCTGTGTATGCTTACATAAACACAGAGAATGTATGATCATGTGTCTCTGGAATATTGTTTTAAAATTCAGTGGATTATTACTAGTTTATATTGTTGTTAAAGAATTAGAATGTGTGTGTAAGTAGAACTGTTGATACGTAATGTTTGTAATCAGAGTTTGTGTTAGCACTTGAATGTTTTGTGTCCTGTAGACCCAACCACTTGGGAAAATATGGGGACCACAGAGAAAATGTGGAGTCCCCTTATATTTTTACATAAATCATACAAACATCAGAATTTTTAATATTCTCTCTTATTACTTACTAACTGTAGTAACATTTGAACATTTTCTGTATTGCTTTGTTTTATCATGATCTTTTCCTGCTGCGAGATCTTTATCTGGTAAAACATTATTTTATAGATAAATGCCTCTATATACAAGTAAACTTGCTGCATAGTAACTTAAAATGTAATAGACCATTTCCACCTGCACTACCACAGGAAATAGTATGGACATTGTAGTTTAAAGTGAAATGTAGACAAAAGATCTCAATTTTATTGAAAAGTATATGAAGGTGAACAGGATTAAAAGAGAAATGTGAAGCTAATTTTATTCTGCAACTCAGGGATGCATTATAATCTAATTTTGTCATACCCTGATATTAAGTATTTGTGTTAATGCACTTTTATATATAAATATACAAATTCTTAATTTTAATTTCTGTGAATATGTGTAAACTTTAATGTGTGTATATATGCCTTTATATATCTAAAGTGTGTAATCAAAAATAAAAACATATCATGTAAGAAAATATTGAATAAGTAAGTTAACCTTTCAATATTACTCAGCATTAAAACTTTTGTTATCATATCGTCCACAAATATTAGAATTATATAGAGGGTATTTAGGTACTTTTTTACTCTTTATGTTCTTCTCATTATGAAATCAGTTTAATACATACCTTACACTTTTTGCTAATTTGTTTTGAAAAAACTTTAGTAATTACATAATTAAATGATGTTATTAATGAATGTATCTATGCCTGAATCTACTGAAGAGACTGATTGTACTTATTCTACATTAGGATACTATTTTTCATTATTTTTAACAGCCTCTTGACTGTAATTTGTACGTTTTCAGTCCCAAGAGGCTGCAACTTATCCCTTATGCAAAGATCCACCCCATCCTCTCTTTTTTAAAAGTGTATCACTATTAAATACATTATAACCTGACATTTCAAAATAATTTATATTATTCATGTTTTTCAAATCTAACCAAATGAAATTTGGTTAGTATTATTATTATCATAATCTTTCATTTCAGCTTGAGCTATAAATTCATACACTTTGTTACTAATATTCCTAACATTAGAGTAATAACAATTAAGTTTATTTTTGAATTTTCTATGTTTATCTTGAAGTCTTTATTATAGACTTATATTTTACTGTTATTCAAATCAGGTAGACTTACCTCTGCCATACCTGTAAACCTTTTCTTGTTGAGTCATGCTCACTACATCAACAAATGACTGTTTTGAATGTTCTTTAACGTTGATTGAAATGAAACCTATTTAAATATTTTATTGATAATTTTCTAGGATTTTAACGACTCAAAGAGAATAAAGGTAACTGGAAAAGCACAATCTGCATTTGGCTTGACTTTATCAAATGCAGGAGATTTAAATAAAGATGGATACAGTGGTAAGTTAAGAAAAATTGAAAAGTTACTTTTTGTTATTAAACAGTGTGCACATAAATAATTAGAAACTTAATTAATAATTTTAATCACAGTTTACTTGTAATGTTTGCCTTGGTAGAAATGATATTTTGTAATCGTTGAATTTAGAATGATCTGAGGAAGTTTCAATCCCAAGATTTGACACCTATAAATACCGTATTTTTCGGAATATAAGACTCATCGGTGTATAAGACGCACCCTTATTTTGAAGACAAAGTTTTGGGGAAAAAAAGCTACAGTCGCATTTGAAAGATTTTAATTGAACAAAAATTCAATTTGATACTTTCAAAATTAGTATATATTGTTCTAAACACAAAAGAGCTCAAAACATCAAAATAAGAAAATACTGTAAATCAAAAAAAGGTTTAGTGTTATTTATTTTGGTTGAAAACCTACAAAATCTTCATTGTTTTCACTGTAATTTATTTTTTATTATTTAGGGAGCATTATAAATAGTTATGTTTTTTTTTCTTTTAAAAACTACTATTGTTATAAATAACACATTCAATTGGAACTAAACTATGCATGCTTATTTAAATATATTTACACATGGCTTGTGTATATGGTATATATACATATATATTATTCATACCTTCGGTGTATAGGACGCAAGCAGATTTTGACATCAAATTTTGGGGTAACAAAGTGCGTCTTATACACCGAAAAATTCGGTACTTTTCTAATTGTCTGAATCTTGAATACCCAAAGTGTGAACTTTTTTTATAGATTGGTGTTTGTAGTGCCATTCAATAGATGGCGCTACATACCACAAGCTTTCTGGAATAATACGGAATAATTGACTAAGTGAACGAAGTAACAACACTTGCTATATTATGTTATGTTAAAAAGGGAACACCTGATTGGACATCACAACCTCTACGATTTTACAAAATGCTTTGTTTTTCTTTTTTATAGACCACTTCCATCCACTTTGAAACACAAGTACGAAACATCAGACCTTCACCACATAGTTGCGACATCTGGTGAGTGTATGGTTTTGTTCTAAGATATAAAGAACACATGACATACATTTCAAATTTATAAACTTCGCGATCTTCCAGTAGAACCATTTTGATATAAAAGTATTAAATTCAAGTCGATTTTTTTATATACTGCTATTATTATGTGTATCGAACATATTAAAACGGATGATAAATAAAATAAACGGATAAATAAAAAGGATGACCAACCTTAAATTGCTATATTGGAAAGCTCTTTTTTTTGTTCAAAGAGTTATAAATAAATTCATATTTTTAATAATGTTTTTTTACAGAAAATTCTGAACAAGAACAAATCATTTGACTTTACGTTATGCAATCAAACCAGTGATTACATAAGTATCCATTTGATATAAAAATTATGCTAGTACTTTCTTTCCATATTGGTTTACATGAAGCATGTCATCGCCGTGTTACGACAGCGGAAGTCACGTGACCCTAGTAACACGTCATGAACTTCTAGAACGTTCATGTCCCTTCCTGAAGCCTCGAGAGGTTACTAGATATGCGGAATTCTTGTATATATAAGCCGCCAAGAAGTGACGGCAACAATGTGTAATTGAATAGCAGACAGAGATAGATACGGACAGTTGAGTCAAGCGCGTGAGTCGTTCGTTGCGAATTATAGCGTTTGTTATAGCGTGGCTGTGGAAATTAAGTGTATTGCAAAGTTGTATTCAGAAAGAATAAACCAGTTTTATTTAAGAAAGGACTTGTGTCGCTAAAGTTTCATCGGAAAGAAATTATACGGGAAATTAACTAACGACCAGAGACGTAACAGCCGGTTGAATTTGTGGGTCAAATCAGACATAATAAGACTTAAAAATAAAAACAGCCTTTTGAGGGCTTTATAGGTTATGATGAATTGAATATAAGTTAAAAATGTGCTCATTTGAACATACAGTATCACCTATAGTTAATGTGGTGCATAATAATATATATATAAGGTTTTAATGCTTTAACATGAAAACAAGTCCTTTCAAGAATTATGTAAATTATAAGTTGAACTAGTATCTAGATAATTATGAGGTATCCCAAAAAAATAGTCAAACTGTAACAAACTCGAAAAACAAAATATAATTTTTTACGTATTCTATTTAAATTCCAGACACTTTCTCAATTGCTGATCTTAGTAAATCGTGTCACAATAAATACTTATCGTTAAAATTCTCTACCTGTTTGCAATTTTATCTTGAAATATACAGAACAGATAGGGGAAAACAATAAAAACTACCTTTACTGAACAGTCATCCTTTTATCTAATCATAGATGGCAATAGCGTCACCATTATACTTATATTACGTAAACAAATGTAGGTATGCCTTCTGAATTTCGAAATAAATTTAAATGTCATTCGGGAAAAAGCTATCTTACTAAATATAAAAGAAAGGTGTTTATTTATTTTAATGAGTAAGCATTCTAATAATGCTTGGATACGGCTTGAATGGGTTATGAAGAAAAAATTTAATATAAGTTTAACTTAACAACAAATGTACAACTTCGAATTCGATGACGAGGAACCCACTTTGAGACTAATAATGGCT